ACATTGTCGGAAATCACAGGGGGACAATCAGTCGGCACGAAATGCAGCGAGCGAGACCTGATGGGGGAGCTGAGTGGGTGGAAAGACAGAGGTCGTGCTGGCTTGCCCATTTCGGGCATATGTAACCTTGCCTCCTCTAGTTCACAGAGAGCTGCTAGACGAGGCAGTTTGTGATTACCCATTGACATCATTATTCTTCTAATTTCTGCTTAAGAATGAAGGTCGTCTGCATTTATTTAACGACCCAATCTTGCAAATTGGTTGAAAGTTTTGGCGGCATAAGTAGTGATGAAAGCAACATTTTGCTTTTTGGAGCAGATTCTGGAGCAGAAAAAATGCTGCTTTAGAGCAGCCTTAGCTCTCTTCGGAGCAGAAAAGAATGCTATAGCTAGGGGTTGCTATTGGTGTATTCAGAGCAGATGCGTGTTTCTAACGACTCTTGAAGTCTAAACATCACTTAAGCATCTAATAAATATTTATATTTATATTATACCTGCCATACGCCATTAGGAAGCTAGTATACAAGCCGCATTGTTTTTAAATTCCATATGAAAGCTCGACTTAATTTTTATATAAATAAAAGTACAACCTGCAATAAAAATACAAATTGGTCAGCATGGCCCGATATGTGTCATCCCTTGGATTTTTCTGGATTTACGCCACTGAGTAGCATACTAGAATGATAGCATACAGCTTGCTTCAGGTTTCGCTTAGGCTCACCGGATGGTTCTCATGATTCAACTTCATTCTCTTTAGCTTTCCAACACCATTTTGGAGCAGGTTTGGAGCAGTTACTAGCAAATATTGCACTTTGGAGCAGCATGGAGCCGCATTGTTCATTTGGAGCAGTTTGGAGCAATTGGAGCAGCACTTCCATCACTGCAAAGGTTTTGTTCAGTATTGCTTCAAAGAGAAACTAAAGGCTTATACTAATTTACAGTATCAAAGTGAAAGATCAATGCTAGAGAAGGTATAAAACCTCATTACTATCAACAGCAGTGCTCTACTGATCTAGAAATAAAGGTAAATGTACGACACTACCTGCACCCCGAGTGAAGCATTTTGAAATGATCCCAATAAAATTAAAACGTCCAACTACAATTACCCACGAATAGTCAACACAGTTGCAATCGCAAAAGAACCTTCCATGCATTATAACATGCAATGGAATGCTGCTGCTCCATTTACATTTGATTCATGGAAAGAAGAACTTCTCGGCATTATTATGGGGAACGGCGCGATAGGTTCAGAAAATTTCATTTTCGCCTGATAGGCTGGATAGGTCATGCCATCTAGTGGGGCCCCCTTTCTTAAACTAGCAAGGCATCAAATATTTATTGCAGAAATATCACGCATTCTATATCTTGTGTGAATGTGTTGCAGTGAGATAACTATGCATAAGTTGCATTTTTCATCGTTTTTTCCTCAAAAACGCTTGGCAAATACAAGCGTGTCTATGACTGTGGTTGCACAAAGCATCCCAAGATGTCGACACCATTGTCCAGTAACCTTGCATTCCTACAACACCTTTGCGTATGTCGACAGCCGCGCAGTAACGGCCAGGCCCCGTTGGGCAAGGCAACTGCTACGTCGGAGAGGCCCGTTTTCAGGCGCATGACTTGACATGCACTAATGCGGTGCAGACCACTAAAATGTTGTCTTACTTCAAAAAAAACAATTATTAGCATGAAAGTAGCAGTATGAGGTTTCTGAATCGCTATTTCAGCCATCAAAGATGACTTAATTTTTGTCTCTGGTTTCCCCTTAAGACAGAGAGTGCTAGACTACATCTGTAGCTAGATAAGCAAATAGTAACACTCAAGGTAAGCTTAGCTTGGTATGATATGCTTTGCATTTCAAAGCAGTGGTAAAAACGGACACAGATTATTCTAATACCCTTGCCACATGGGCAGACAAAATGGCATTTACCTCCTAATGCCTTCAGATTAAATTTCATTGGCACGATGCCACAAGGATGAACGAATTGACATTCACCAATATGCCATTCGTCACCTAATGTTATCGCCAGAACTCAAATGCACACACTCGATAGCACAGAAGATGAAGTAATTATATAAAAAGACGTTTGATTGGACTGGAAGGAAACTTTTTGCATCTTTTATTTACACTAATCTGTTAAACAAGTGCTCAAAAACTTTTCTTCAGCTGGTAGACCCTGTAAAATAAATGCGACAGGTGCCATTTTCTTTTTACGCTGCGGATCTGACTAGCTTTGGCTTAAGTTGCTACATGGTCGGTCGTAACGTCGTGAAACAAAAGAAAGAACGAAATCTAACGGCAGTGCAATATGCTTATTTCTATATTTATTTCTTCTCGGAGGTATATGTAGCTTGTAAATGCACGTTTACTTTTCTATTACTACTGCACAATTGCTTACTACAAGAGATGGTATGATCGACACCATCTACTAGGTGGTTCTAAGAGAGAAAGGAAAAGAAAAGTGAGCCCTGTAACTGTCTGCTTAAGCGAGCGACACCTCAACAGTAGCTCACAAGGGATGGGGGTGAGGAGGGATTAAAAGGGTAGAAATAAAGGTGTAGAGAGAGAGAGAAAGAGGCATGAGGTGGTAAGCCAGAGAGCGACGACATATCGAGGGGATAGGAGAGATAGGAAAGATGGAAACACGGTCACAGGAGTCCGAGGATGGGTCACCACTTGCGAGAGTTCTTGTCGGCGTCAGGAGGTGGCGTACAGCAAGTCCAGTCGGTCGTAGCTACACTGTCGTCGGAGGTCGGCGCCAGGAGATGACGTAGGGCGAGCACAGTCGACCAGAGCTACGCTGACGTCGGAGATCGCGAGGACACAACCGGTCGGCACGGAATCGAGCGAGCGAGTCCTCGACATCATCCGAGTCAAATATAATTCATTTTGGAAGTGTAGCAACTCTGCCCCAAAAAAATGTCATTCGGGAACTAAATGCCTTCACTACAGAATGTCATTTCCTGTGCTCGTGTGACGCAGGTATAAGAGTGCAGCAACTTACCTACTCCTTAAAAACATTGAGATGTGCCACTTCAATAGATATGAAAAAGTTTGAAGGGCCCGTAAACCACCTCTCATATTTTTTCAAGCATTTCAAGTAAACGTACGCATCGTGTGCAAAATGCCGTCGCGGTCAACGATTTTGCACGTGGCAGCAAAATGAGCCACCGGCGTGCCACGAATCCCAACAAACAATCCCTCCTCCCTTCCAGGCCACCGCGTGATGCGCCGTGCCTTATCTCTGATGCACCGAGCCAAATATGCTGTCAAGCAAGAGCTTATGGCTTACAGTCTGTCTGCAAGCAGCTGTCCGTGCTGCTTGTTGTTTGTCGTGTTGCCTGCGTGCGTGTAACATGTGCGGGGCACAGCGTGTTGCCGCACGGGTTCATTGCGTTAGCAATCCTTTGAAGGCATGTGTGCAATGCAGGTTCTATACCGGAACGATTACGGCAGCCACGGTTCTCCAACAAGCACGCAACCGCTGGAATCAACGGTTGGAGTCGCGGCAACCGGAAGTAGACAGTGTTTCAAGCAGCACATCAGTGATGACGTATGCCACGCGAGATTGGGAGGGGCGCTCAGCGAGAAGGCAAAGTGGCGTGGGAGAAGATACCAGCGGAGGGTAACGCAGGGGAGAGCGAAAGGTGTGGTTGTCACTGTTTTGATAATCAAACGCGTCGGACTTCACTATTACTACATCGCTCCGAAAAATTCTCACGGCTCCATGCGTCATACATTCGTGCACAATTTCCCCACAACTGAATTTCGCCCTCTGGGTAGTTTACGGGCCCTTTAAAAATCATCCTCGTTATATTGCTATGTTGCAAGAAAAGAATAGTAGTTTTGTTTAGGTCAGATATGCACCAGCATATTCAAAGATGAGGTGCAAGTTGTGAATAGGGGGCACCTTTCAGGGCGTTGCCTAATATTCAGGCAGTGGCCAGTCTGGCTTTATGTAGCAATGAGCACATAAAAAGGTATTAGATGAAGCCCACTGCACACCATCATGGATTCTCATGAAGTTTCGATCCCAATTTTCTGTTCTCGTTGACATAATTTCATAAGCTCTTCCATATGTGGTATAACTGTTGGCAAGATAAGTGGAGGTTTCTCAACACCATCCAGACAACCAAGTGCCATCTCTATACCAACAGTTGTTATGTTAGGCTAGCTTCATTAGTGAAGGCAAAGTCACACATGAACTGAACGTTAATTGCTCTGAAGTGTGGCAGCTTGGGCTGTTGGTATGACATGACGATAGTTATAGCGCGAGAACCGACCGACGACAAAGAGTGCCCTTCGTGTCATTCTTGTCTCTTTGTCGTAGTTCTGTTCTCGTGCTATAACTATCGTCATGTTAATTGCTCGTTTGGTACATGGCTTCTTAAATATTTCTAAGCTTTTCATTTAACATAACGATGAACAGCCAGCGGGCTGAGCATGAATACTCGTACCACCTCTGCACCACCGACGTGTGAAATCGCTGCCCCTTGTGGTAATTACCGCTACGGGAGGAATTGTGGTCAGCGGTTGATTTCGCAAGAACAAATGTAGAAGAGCACGTAAGGTGTAGCACTGTTAAGCTCGAGGTCGGCCCACAGCGGCTGCATTTCTATTGGGGATGCCTCATAATCACATTTCCACGGTAAAATTCAGCATATACATTATAACGCACACATTCGGTCTGCTCCTCCACATAAGCTCAATGTTGAATTGAGTCGAAGATCAGCGAGCATGGTCGTTCATCATAACAGCAAATGAGAAAAGGGACTGCCGTGCGGCGCAAAAAAATTGGCGCCTCCGGCAGAAGCGAGTGCTCCCATGATGATAATGTTCACACTTTGCGTGAAAGGCTCATGTCGGTCAACGCACGCAGCTGGCGAGCATGGACACGTGTACCACTGCGGAAGCGAGGAAGAAGATCGAGGAAGAAGATCGAGGAAGCAGATGGAGGAAGAAGACAGCGGCGCTGAAAAAACTTTTGAACGGGCGCTCACCTGTGACGTCTGTGGGATCGACATGTGCCAGCAGATGTTCACAACTTTAGATGGAGCGCTGACGCCGAGAACTCAAGCTCCACAATTACCAGATGACAGCCGGCACACAGAACACCTACTAGAGGGCACACGCGTTTTGTGCTTTTATTTTGCTTTTTTTTTTTTCAGTTTACATATTTAGCCGCGCCACACGTGTAGCGCTCGCTAACGCACCAACTACCGGGAACATAAATGGACGGGCAGATAATGTGGCAAAGCGGCAGTAGACAGTCTTGCATAGACTACGGCCTGGTCTCAGAACACACGTACGAGCGGTTGAACCAAATGACGATAGATGATGAAGGAGAAAACAGTCTGGGCAGCGACCACAGGCGTATAATCCTGAAATTTGACAGTGGGGGGGCTAGGAAGAAAACACAGGAGGTTTGGCTCCCGAAAGTAAGCGAAAAGCAGATAGCAGACATCGTCAATAGCATCGAAAGAGAATTAGAAGCACAGCCAACAAAGGTGTGGGAATATGACGAGGTTGTTAGTTGTATACAAAAGGAAATAAACAAAGTAAGGAAAAAAAACCGCTGGAGGGGTAAACGGAAACCACGAAGCTGGTGGGACAGGGAAATTAAACTGGCTATTGAAGAGCGACGACGGGCCTCTAGACTGCACAGAAAAGCCAAGCAAATGGGATATCAGGATGATGAGGTGCAGTTACGGTGGAGCCGGTACCGAGAAAAGAAATTTGAGGTGCAGAAACTAGTACAAGCGAAGATTAAAGCTGCGAGTGAGAAATGGGTATCAGACATACGTAAGAAGGATAAGAGCGCCCCCCGAAAACTCTGGAACCATTTAAAAGCATTGGGAACGACGACTAAAGAGATGCAGACTCAGATACAGGACGGGGACGGCAACGTTCTTCTGGGGGACAGCGTATTAGAATACCTACATGGAGTCATAGGAAATACTTTCGGCCAAGCACGCGAGAGGTCGGCTAACTGGACACAGGTGGAAAATAAAAGAGTGGCAGATGAAAAATTTAATATCGAATTTTCGGACTGGAAAAAGGCAGAACACAGTGTTCCCAAAAGTACGGCAACAGGACCGGATGGAATCCCGATAGAGATTATCAACCAAATTTGGGACCAGCGGGACAGGCGCACTTGTAGGGAGCCATCGAGTGCGCTATAAAATCCAAGAGGATTCCTGCGCACTGGCGCGAAAGTAGAATAAGTTTGATCTACAAAGGCAAGGGAGAAAGGGACAAGGCGAGCTCTTACAGACCGATTACAGTCACGTCAGTGCTCTATAGATTAGCTATACAAGCCATCAAAGCCGAGTTGTTGAAGTGGGTTGAAAGTAACGGTATTTTAGGGGAACTGCAAAATGGATTTAGGCCGGGTCGACGCTTGGAAGACAATCTTTTCGTCATAACCCAGACCATCGAAATTTCGGCAGCACAGGGCAGACCAACATGGCTACTGTTTCTGGACATAAAGGGTGCCTATGACAACGTGGACAGGGGATTGCTGTGGCATATACTGGAAGAGGAGGGGATTGGGTCGGAATTTGTAGGGCTGCTAAGGGCAATATATGAGGGTAACAAGGCACACATTACATGGGAAGGGCGTACATACACAGAGCCCGTGTACATTCGAAGAGGTTTAAAACAGGGGTGCCCTCTTTCGCCATTGCTGTTCACACTACATTAGAGGAATGGAAAGACGTCTAGAGGAGAGTGGATTGGGCTTTGATTTGTCACACCGAAGCAATGGAGTGTTAGTGGAGCAACGGATTCCGGGATTGATGTACGCAGACGATATAGTGCTGCTGGCGGATAATGCGGAAGAACTTCAAAAACTGGCTGACATTTGTGGTGATGAGGCAACGTACCTAGGCCTACATTTTAACCCACAGAAATCTGGAGTCATGGTGTTCAACGAGGAAGCTCATGTAGCACCAATAAGGATACAACAGGAAGCCATACCATTAGTAAATAAGTACAAATACTTGGGGATCTGGCTTAATGAAGGAAAAGGCTACCTGAATGCTCATGAAGAACACCTCAAACTGAAAGGGAGACGAAATGCAGCAGTAATGAAACATAGAGCACTTTCGGGACACAATAAGTACGAGGTAGTACGAGGTAGTACGAGGCATCTGGAAAGGGGTAATGGTGCCGGCGCTCACGTTCTTCAATGCCGTATTATGCTTAAAGTCAGATATCCTGTCGGGGCTGGAGGTTAACCAAAAGGCAGTCGGCAGGTTAGCTCTGGGAGCTCACAGTAAGACTACAAACGAGGCTGTACAAGGCGATATGGGTTGGGCTTCATTTGAGGCGAGGGAAGCACAAAGTAAAATACGGTTTGAGGAGCGACTTAGACATTTAGATGAGAAGAACTGGGCAGCCAGGTCACACTTCCTGAGGCGCTGGGCTTCGCGGTTGATGGAAGCATTAACTGGTCAGCAGTAGGTATTACTAAGCAGCGGCTGGAGTATTGGTGGAGGAAAAGCAGAAAAGTCGATAAAATAACATCCCAGCCAAGAGTAGCGGCTGGGCAAAATTAAAAAGACATCCGAGTTGAGGGACAGAATTTAAACGCGAACTATTAAGGTAGGCTAGATGGCGCATGCCGTTACCCCGATTCAAAGGGGAGGCCTTTAATGATCATCATCATCATCACTACAGTACAGTGGCTAGAAGGAGAAGTGTGATTACCGCAAGGAGGTTATATTAAAACTTCTGGAGTGGCGGAGAGGCTCCGCAGCTGAAGCCGACACCGCCATATTGATCAGGGCAGAAAACGGATGGGCGCATTTTAGCGTGCGTGGCTTTCGTGTTGATTTAGTGCTAGTAACGTTGCGTATCATGCCTCTAATTGAACAAGACGCTTCTGAACACGTCTGTGATCACATTTTGAGACGACGATGTTGGGCTCTTGGGTGGTATTTGGCTGCACGAATCGTGTTGAGGTGGACACTGGGCTCAGCTTTCAATGTTTAAGTAGGCATGCTTCGCTCATTCACTTATTCTCCCATATTTTAGCGACTATGCGACTGCATTCATAAATTTTCTTTCGGCGTCCGGGGGCACAATGACACTAAGAATAATTTTTTGCAGGCTCTATGTTTTTGTAGTAATGTTTGTAGACTATATATATATATATATATATATATATATATATATATATATATATATATATATATATATATATATATATATATATATATATAGTGGGAGTAATAACTCAATGGGCCCGTTAGTCTTCGGGAAGGTATGGGATATGGCACAACGGGAGCGTTGTCAACAAAGATAAATATAGTTATTTCCCAACAGTTTCAGGAGGGGTCCTCCCTTCATCAGGGGATGAGTTTTATATATATATATATATATATATATATATATATATATATATATATATATATATATATATATATATATATATATATATATATATAATGAGATATAACAGACAGTAATGCCAAGGAATGTACAGGGGAAGTTATTAACATTAATGGAATGTAAATAAGAAGAAAGAAAAGTGGATGAAAAAATTACCAACTGTAAGCAGGAATCGAACAGTTGGTAATTTTTTCATCCACTTTTCTTTCTTCTTATTTACATTCCATTAATGTTAATAACTTCCCCTGTACATTCCTTGGCATTACTGTCTGTTATATCTCATTATTATTGTGTTAAAAACACGGAAAAACGAGCCCTTAGGTATGCACTTCTTTCCCTTATATATATATATATATATATATATATATGTGTGTGTGTGTGTGTGTGTGTGTGTGTGTGTGTGTGTGTGTGTGTGTGTGTGTGTGTGTGTGTGTGTGTGTGTGTGTGTGTGTGTGTGTGTGTGTGTGTGTGTGTGTGTGTGTGTGTGTGTGTGTGTGTGTGTGTGTGATATCCCTGAGTACGCTTTTATTTCTTTTTATAGTGAAAGGTGTTACGAGATCAGAACACGGGTCATGCGTAGAGCCGTGTCCGCCGCCGCCGCCACTCGCAATTAGTATCGAACAAAAAAAAATTCGTTAAGTTAAGAATATCAATGACACAATGAGAGTCCAATCCGGGTCCGCTGCGTGCCAACCCAGCATTCTACCACTGAGCCGCGCCAGCGCTGGAAATTGTTTCTAAACTGGTTTTAGGCAGGCTTGATGTGTGGAAACGAGTCGCATTAATATGAGTAATAAAGCGTTTTAGACCATCAAGGAACAGCGAGGCGTCACACAATGCGAATTTCTTGACGACTTGGTCGTCCAACGCTTGCATCCATTAAAAAACTTATTCTTGATCACCTATTAACTGTGGTGCATAACCACTTCACGCATATTTCTTCATCGTCATCAGCCACTGCATAAAAAGTGAAACGAACACGCCAGGGCCGTGGCTGGGCCAAGACAAAAGCTTTATTGCGATAGCGCGGGTTAATGTAGCGTTGTGCGAGAGGGGTTAAGGGGAAGGGAAGGAGAAGAAGCAGTGGTGATAACGGCGGCTTCGGCTGGCGTGACGTCACGGATACATCATTCCGCTCCCCCTACGGTGAGTAACGGTCTGGGGGTTTGCGTTGCCGGCCCGAGCGACGCAACACCGGAGTTGAGGGGCTCCCGGCGATCTCGCTCCTTGTTGGCGCTCGCCTCGGTGTTCCTCCTGCTAGGGCCCCGCCGGCAGTTTCGAGGCACCGAGAGTCACCGACTTCTCCCTGGTCATGCTCCAACTCCCGTGGCTTCACCTGGTCGCTGTGGCGCCTAATGGTTTCCCCCTCCGGACCATCGGCATTCACCAGGCGGGCTCCGTCTGTCGATGTAATTCTGGCTGGAGTCCACGGCTCGCCTCGCCCGAAGTTCCTCACCCAGACTGGCTCCCCGGGCTGCCACCCATCGAGGGGGGGACGGTCAACTGGTGAGGGCGGAATGGACACTGCGTTGTCCAGCCTGGAGCGAAGATCGTAGCCCATTAGGAGTTGCGCTGGTGTCCGGCCCCCGGCCTGCGGCGTCCTGCGGTACCTGTGCAAAATCCTAGCCAGGCGGGTTTTCAGTGACCCTTGTACGTTCTTCTTCAATGAATACTTCACCGTACGAACCGCCCGCTCCGCGAGCCGCCCATTGGACTGGGGGTGATACGGTGCTGTTCGGAGGTGTACTATGTTATTCAGCTTCGTGAAGGTGTTAAATTCCCAACTCGTAAACTGTGGGCCATTATCGGATACCAGCGTCCGGGGCAACCCGAATGTACTGAACAAGGTGCGCAGAGCCTCTATGGTGGCGTGTGTGGTGGAACTCTTCATGGGTATCGCTTCTATCCACTTACTATGTGAATCCACCACAATCAGTAGCATGTGACCATCGATCGGCCCCGCAAAATCGATATGCAGCCTCGACCAACGCTCATCCGTTTCTGGCCACGCAACAGGGGGTTTCTTTGGGGGCATAGGGGCAGCTTGGATGCAACTGGTGCAGGACTTAACCATGTGCTCAATGTCATTATCGATCCGGGGGTACCACATCAAGGAGCGCCCTAGCCGCTTCATTGAGCAAATCCCTTGATGAGTATCATGCAGCAGACGTAACATCACTGCTCGGGCACTCTTAGGGACGATCACTCGATGGCCCCAGTATAGAAGCCCATAACTCCCCGTTATCTCAGCTTTCCGGTTGAAGTATGGCATCAAGTGCTGGTCCTTAGGCCCCAAATTTCTTGGCCATCCCTCCTGCACCCATTTTTGCACCTTTGCTAAATCGTCATCAAGCTCCGTGAGAGTGCCCAGTTGCTTCGCAGACATGACACCATCATTGAGGGTCTCCGTGAGCTGGACATACTCACCGTCCACAGTTTCTTCCTGCGTCTCTGGCTGGGAAGTTGCTGACGTGGGGAGTCGGCTGAGGGCATCGGCTGGAATGTTGTCTTTCCCGAGCTGGTGTTTGATGACGTAATCGTAGGCGCTCAGCAGCAGGGCCCACCGCTGGATTCGCGCAGCGGTCATCACGGGCACTGGCCTGTCTGGGTGAAAAAGTGCAACAAGCGGCTTATGGTCCGTCATCAATGTGAAAGTATTGCCGAGCAAGTATTGTCGGAATTTCGACGCACCAAACACAAGTGCCAAGGCTTCACGCTCCAGCTGCGAGTAATTTTTCTCAGCTCCAGTCAATAACCGAGAGCGGAACCCTATGGGCCGAAGTACTCCGCCCCCGACATCGTGTGAAAGCACTGCGCCTATTCCGTCCGGGGAGGCATCGCATTCCAGGACTAGCGGCTTGTGTGGGTCAAAATGCGCCAGAAAGTCTGCGGATTTCAGAAGGTCTTTCACACTGCTGAATGACTGCTGTTGAGCGGTATCCCACTTCCACTTAGCTTCCCTCCGGAGTAGTTGATATAGGGGTGCCATGGCGGTCGATGCATTGGGAAGAAACTTGTGGTAGTACGTTACCATGCCGAGGTAGGACCTTAATTCTGCGGAATTCCGTGGTGCCTGAACCTTAAGGATGGCGTCTATGTTTTCCGTCTTTGGTTGAAGACCTCGAGCGCTGATTCGATGCCCCAAAAAATCCACCTCTAGTTGGCGGAACTTGCACTTGTCTGCGTTCAGGCGCACGCCGTATTCCCGGAAACGCTTGAATACATCGTGCAGGGTGGTGCAGTCATTGCGTTTCTCTGCCACGATGACGTCGTCTAGGTAGACCTGAACACCCGGAAGTCCCTGCAAAATGGTCTCCATACGCCGTTGGAACACGGCCGGCGCGGACGCGCCACTCCAAAAGGCAGGCGAGTAAAGCTGAACAGTCCCTTATGCGTGTTTATGGTCGTGAGGTGCATGGCTTCCTCATCCAACGGAAGCTGGTTGTATGCCTCCCGCAAGTCTATCGTGGTAAAAACTTCACCGCCATTTAATGTAGCCAGGATATCCTCCACCCGTGGCAACGGATATTGCTCAGTGCGACAGGCTTTGTTGACCGTTAGCTTAAAATCGCCGCAAAGGCGGATGCAGCCATTCCGTTTCACTACCGGTACCACTGGCGCCGCCCACTCCGCATGAGGCACCGGTACAATAATACCCGCGCCCGAAAGGCGGTCCAGTTCCGCGTCGACCTTTGGCCGAAAAGCATACGGAACTTCGCGTGCTTTCCAAAACTTCGGCACCACGTTTTCTCGCGTCTCGAAGTGTACCGGTGGCCCTTTTATGAGCCCTAAACCTGGCGCGAACACATCAGCGAATTCTGCTAGCAACCGGTCCACGTTAACGTCGTCAGCACCGAGTAACGGCAGTTGCTCACCTGACGTGTTCACGTTCATTACCGGTGCCTCGAGCATGTGGAACGCTTGAATCAGGTCGCGTCCGCAGAGGTTTGGGCCGGAGCAACCAAGGACTTGCAAAGATCCAGCCATCGACTTGTTTCCGCACGAAACCTTGAGCTGAAGTTGTCCCCGCACTGGAAGCCGTCCCAGGAAGCAGGTGAGTTTCAATGGCGAACCACGCAGCTTCGGCCACACTGTTTTGTTCCGCTCATATGTGGGCCACGTGATGACCGAAACCGGTGAGCCTGTGTCGACCTGCATGTTCACTGGAACCCCACCACAATCCAAGGTGCGCACGATGGGTTGCGTAATGCCGACGTGGCCGATGTGACTGTCCGCTGCCTCCAGCGCGAACATACCGTCCGTGCCAGTGTCTTCCTCCCGCGACAAGGCGTGTACTTGGCGTTCTGGTGGTACCACCCCGAACCCACTCTCACGGCGGCAACAGGCTCGAGCGATATGACCTCGTTGTTTACACTTGAAGCATGACGCCGAGCGGAAGCGGCAATCCTCGGGTCCGTGCCCTTTTGCTCCGCAGCGGTAGCACCCAACAATCTGTGGCCGGCTTCGTGGGCGATAGGACTGGCCTCCCAGCGCATGCACACTTGCCTCAGCGGTGGGACTTACTATCTCTTGCGCGTTGGCCTCGGCCATTTCGGTAGATATCGCAATTTCTTCCGCTTCGCTCCTCGTCAGCTGTGGTTTCGCGAGTAGCTGCCGACGCACTCCGACGTTGTGCAGACCACACACGATGCGATCTCGTAGCATTCTGTCCAACGAAGCACCAAAATTGCAGGTGTCCGCTATCAGTCGAATCGCCACGACAAAATCCTTGACCGGTTCGCCGGGCAGCTGATTGCGGGTGAAGAACTTATAAGACTGTGCTATCTCGTTCGGTTGCGGCGAGAAGTGCTGCTTAAGCAAGGCTATCACTTGTGGGTACGAAAGTTCATTCACCTTATCCGGAGCACAACGTCCGCTCAGTACGTCGACGGTGTGGGTGGACAGTGCAGTCACCAGCAGGGCCCGCTTCTTGTTGTCTTCCGTGATGCCATTTCCCTCAAAGAAGGCTTCCAGCCGAACCTGGTACGCGGGCCACTTGTCGCTCGCCTCGTCGAACTGCGGCGGGCTGGCGTATCCTCCCGTGGGTGCGGCGGTCATGACGGACGGAGTTGCCGCACCGCTTTTATCCCATTCTCGTCGCCACTGAAACGAACACGCCAGGGCCGTGGCTGGGCCAAGACAAAAGCTTTATTGCGATAGCGCGGGTTAATGTAGCGTTGTGCGAGAGGGGTTAAGGGGAAGGGAAGGAGAAGAAGCAGTGGTGATAACGGCGGCTTCGGCTGGCGTGACGTCACGGATACATCAAAAAGATGCACTAAACTTCAAGCAAGTGTGTAGCGAATACCGCGTACGATTCTCCAATGAATGACGAAGGATAGCATAGTGAATGCTGGCCTACTACAGAAAATTTATGAATATTTATGGCACTGTGGGTACCCAGCAGTGCTCTTGTAGCATCCCAAAGAGTTTTTAGAGAAGGCTTTGAAAGACCACTCTCCCAGCTTTCGCTGTGACTGTTCTGCGCGTTTCTTGCAGGTCTGGCGTGTTCTTTTTTTTTACACGCTTGAAACGCCAAATGTCCAAGAAAAATTAAAGCAGATGTGCATTAAAGTCCTTGCCACATTCGTTCGCCTACTAAAAATATTAAACAGGTGCTTTAGTAGCAATAACGAAACGCACGGCAAGCATCACGGCGCTTCAGAACAGGCGCCGCCTCCTTCTGCCCTGAGCAATATGGCCGCCGCGGCTTCACTTCGAGACATGGGCGGGTATGCGGGACCGCCACTCCAGAAGATTTAGTATAACCTCCTTGGATTACCGTCAAGCTGCGTCTACGGGAAGGGCTGACGCCGTTTAGCTATGCATCCGCAAGGTAGAACTCGCTGTCGCATACGCGCAGTGCATCGAAGTAGCAGAAAAGGAACTCAGGCCCCTGTGGCTAGCATTTTTGGATATCAAGGGAGCATACGATAGCGTGGTTCAAGAGGACTTGTGGGAAATACTGGACACACTAGGTGTGGAAAATTAAGTCACTAATATTTTAATGGAAATCTATAAAAGTAACAAGGTAGTATTCAGGTAAAAAAAAAACAAGGTAGTTATAAAGGGGGGGGGGGAAACAGGTATCCAAGCCCACACAGGTGAAACGGGGGCTTAGGCAGGGGTGCCCACTGTCACCCTTGTTATTCATGATGTACCTACAAGGATTACAGGCCAAATTAGAGGGAAGTGGACTTGGCTTCAACCTCTCTTTTGTCAAACAAGAAAAACTCATTGGCCAGGCACTACCAGCATTAATGTACGCAGATGATATAGTGCTAATGGCCGACAACAAGAAAGATTTGCAGAGATTGATGGACATCTGCGGTAATTAAGGAGATAGGTTAGATTTCAGGTTCAGTAAGGAAATATCAGCAGTCATGGTTTTTAATGATAATGAAGGTTGTGAGCTTAGGATACAAGAAGTTACGCTAGAGATAACAGATAAATACAAATATTTGGGTGTCTGGATAAGCCATGTGCCCGAGTAAGGGAGCACGAAATATACGTGACAACTAAAGCTAACAGGAATGCAGCAGAGATGAAATATAGGGCACTCTGGAATTACAATAGGTATGATGTTGTGAGAGGAATATGTAAAGGGGTCATGGTTCCCGGGCTGACGTTCTGAAATGCGGTCTTGTGCATGAGATCAGAAGTTCAAGCAAGATTAGAAATTAAGCAACGTGGAATAGGTAGGCTTGCTTTAGAAGCTCACGGGAATAGACCAAATCAGGGAGTACAAGGTGATATGGGATGGACATCATTTGAGGGCAGAGAAGCTAGCAGCAAGATGAAATTTGACAGAACCTTTTGAGGGCCAAAACGTTCGGTTCACCCAATAGTCGCTTAAAACCGGCTTGACTTGGCTGAAAATGTATGAATAGACGGCGACAGAATCGCCGTGTTAGATATTTTTTTGGGGACGTTTAGGTGGTGGGAACGAAAGGTCTAAGATTCTTTACTAACTTGTGAGGATCTTTACCGTGCGGTGGTTATTTATCCGTGGTCTTTGCTTGGCCTGGGAGCCTTATGCATTCGCGAGAACCGCCTCTGCGCATGGATACGTGGTCTCGTTCTGTAATACTGTCTATAAGCAATGTGGTAACGACTTGCCCGATCATGAACACCGTGTGTTATGCTATTTGTGGATGTATGCCGTACGTGTATGTCTGGTAAGTGCGTGTGTAGCGTAAGGATCGATGTGTCGCTTCGGTGAAATGTATGCTTGCGCCAAAACTTTCATTGAAGCTTCTTATTCTTATCTGCGTGAGACAGATACGAAATGCACACGTTGGAAGCGATGGAATATTACCAGGCGTTCACACAACGTTATTTTCCAAGTGGCTTTAATATGCTGTCGCCGATTACGATAATCGGTTTTCTAAGCTATGTCTGTTCTTGTGGGTGTATACAAAGAAAAAAGAAAGAAATAGAGTTGAAGATATGCTGGGAGCAGTATAAATATTCGCTCAAAATTGCCACCTTAAAAGCGTCTTCTTAAAATTAAATAGTGCCGCAAGGCAGTCGTGCCTTGCGGTGAAGTGCACGCTGTGTATTGCGGTAAAGCATACATATTGCGCGCGCTCGTGTTTAAATTGGAAATGTAGCACTGACATTGGACCTCGTGTGTGCACCTAAATTGTACACGCGCTATCCTCTGCCTCATCAGTGACGATGCGGCAGTCAGTATTGTCATCATCTTCAGCTTGTGTAACTAGCACAGAACAATTTACCTAGTAAAATACATTTTGTGGCAGGCAATTCGCAAGGCATTCAGATGTTAGTTCATTGCAGGATTAATTCAAGATTGTTAAATGGCACCTTCAAATCAACGAAACATGCATATGAGAGGCTTCAGTCGTACTTCAAAATTTGTACCATGCCTCAAATTGAAAATGATTATAAAGGAAATATATACTAAGGCTGGGTGTAGATTACCATTCACAATTCAATTACCATTCATATTTTAGAAACTTAGAAAATTTGTAGCTCATGTTTTCCTATCGAGTAAGCACAAAAATAACTGTTGAAGAATGGTCTACAATTACTCACACAGTTTGCGAGAAATAGATCTTTGAAACGTATGTCGTGCCAGAACTAAGTGCAAGGTGGTTAGAGGAAACTGGTTATGACCCGACATAATAGCGCATGTTCGAACTTTTACATGGGCTGCTTGTTGGCAAAAGGGGGTGGAAATTAGGTAAGTGCCTGCAGGGATCTGCACCAAGAGATGAAACCTGCTACATCTTTTTCATAAATTTCATTATTTGTGTCAAGCATGCATGCACTCTTCGTTGTGTTTTCTCAGGGAGCAAGTATATGGCATACGCTTGAAATCCATACGTTATCCCTGCGATTTGAAGATGTTATCACAGTGGACATGAACATGCAATGTAGTTGAAAACGTTGCTGGGCACCAACTTTCTTAACAATTTGAACCCGCTTATACTACAAAAGTTACCTTGTGACTTCAGCCAAATAGTTTCTAACTGTTGTGGTTACTGTCAGATAAAAGTAATAATGAGCTAGTTGTGCTTGGACAACAGTCTTGCTTTACTGTATTAAAATACAGTAATTTAGTACCTGCATATAGAACTGACCACTTAGTTATATTTTTTTTATTTGTGGTCCTATTTGTTACAGTTTATTTTTAAAATATTTCATACAAGGTGGTTAAGTTTTAAGTCCATACAGTGGGCAAATTTTATCAGCAGTACCGCATGCTGTACAATCACTTAATCACTTTTACTTCTCCTAGAAAGCATGGTGTTCCACTATTCCGGTATGTCTCGGCTGAGCTTCTCAACCTCGATGACTGTACATGTCAAACAGTTTGCCAAGTGTAACTACTTACTCCCCCATAACTCTAAATTTTGTCGAGCCATAATAAATAATTGGTAGTAAGGACCAGTTACAAAACCCTTTTTTATGAAGGGCTCATTAATCAGGGACCTAACAATTCTGTACATAAATGATGACAGCAACCATAGATAGAACGATTAGGTTGTACTAATAAAAGCATTGATATTTTTTTCTTTGGAAAGTAAATACAATGCATAAGTAGTCTTACCAGTCCGTGCTTCAATATTGTAGCTAAACTATCACTAAAAGCCAGAGTCATTTACAAATGCCATGTGAATTCCCGGAAAGCGCTAGGTAGCTTTATATAAATTGGGGATGTCTGCAAAAAAGCAAAAAGCCTACGTTTATGTTGAGCAGAAGTCCAAGTGAACATGCATGCATATGTTCATGAACTAGTTCCCTGTAACATGTGGTGCAACAGCTCTAGCTTAAAAGCTTCAGGCAGCTTTTATGCTGCTCCAAAAAGATTTTAGTTGCACCACCACAAGCTCCGGATATGCCTTTTATGAGTCATGTCACTGTGCCCGTTGAGTCTTCAAAAAAACAGGTTTGAAGGGGATGCTAAACATTTTTTTTGAAGGGGTGAGTAGCAGAGAGCATTAATTTATTAAAGTCTTCAATTTTATTATGTTAGCTCTGAGGCTTGCAGGTATGTTAAATGAGCATGGTCACATGAGTAACACCTCATAGGTCAATAATTTTTGGGTTGACAGCAAGGTATGAAGAGACAGGATTATGAAAATTGTAGAAGTAGAAGTAATGAAGTTGTCGAGAAGACTTTTGTTAACAGTACATTTATAGGCTTCGCGCAGAATTTGCTTTCTAGCAGG